GTTAAATCAATCTTTTAAAATTTGGGAGGGGGGGCGGTGCTAAATCAGATGATCAATTTTAAAGATTCCTTATTTTTGTTTTTTTATCTGATCTATGAACAAAATGAACTTTTTTTTTGAGATTATCTTACACTGTAAACATTTTTTTTTAATTTTAAATACATTTTTTTTGTTTTTATTTTATGGAATGAGATCTATAGAATTTCTTTGTATATAAAACTTACATAAAATTTTAAAAAGTAATGTTTTAAAAAAAACAAAAAAAAAAAAAAAAAAAAACAAAAAAAAAATACTACAAAAAAACCGAAGATGAAATTACCTGATTTATTTTGAAAATTAACTACAGTAATGATTTTTATACAAATAGTACCCAGCTCAGAGGCATTTGTCCCAGACTATAACACCAAGAAGACAAATTTAGTCTTCTGGTTAGTTCTCAGTTATAACAAAAAGTGGAAGTGTTGAAGACTTTCCCTAACTCACTATAATGCTGTAGATGTGCCGTAGATGTGCTAAATACAAAAATATCTAAATACACAGATACAGTTCAAATTATCAAATATTTTATCTATAAAGCATTGAAATGTTGTTGCATTATTTTATTTTAAATCTGAAAGGTAGGTAATTGAATTGTTTTGACATAATTTTTGAGATGAGGAATAATTTGCTATTCAGGCCAGCATTCTTTGTTGTTATACTCACAACATGACATGATGTGTTATTAGATACATACATACAATCCCTAACTAAAACTAAAGAACAAAGTTCAAATGCCCACTAAATGATAACTACCTACAAAACATAATATACCAGGCAATCTTACTTTCTCATTAATTCTATATTGAATCCATTGCTAGGTTAGCTGCTAAGAAAGTTGGTTCATTGTGTCATGCTAGACAATTTTTCCTTCCAGAATCTAGCTTACATATTTATAAGTCTACCATTTGCACATGTTTAGAATATTGCATACACATATGGTCTGGTGCTCATGCTATTATTGGTCTTAGCCTGGTATCTCAGCTTCAATCACTTTCACCACTGTAACATAGGTTCTCTGTGTCTTTTCTATAAATATTCTCATGGTAGTTGTTCAGATGAGCTCTTTGCCCTTGTACCTAGACTTTATGAATTTAAGCGCAGTACTAGATTGGCAACAAGAGCTCATCAATTTACAGTTGAATTGGCTTGATGGAATCATAAGTTCTATGCTAACAGTTTTATTCTTTTATTTCTCACTTATGGAACTCTCTTCTAGCTTTCCAGTTAACTTTGATATTCAAAAATTTTAATGTAATATCAATTTTTTACATTGTTCAGACTGTTGTCCTCATCTTTATTGCCATATTTATGACGTTTTGGTCGTTGTACACTCTGGGCTTCTACAGGTGATTGGAATTTTTAACTTAACACTTTATTTTGTCCATTGGAGTAGATTGTTCTAGTTCCATGTGCCATGCCTCTTCTGGATGTCAATTGTTATCTGTCTTTCTGATAACTCTTCTATTGTTCTCACCCCTTAATAATGTTTCAGTTTTCTAATTCTTCCACACCCACTAACTCTTTATGGCATAACTGCCTTACTTAGGGTAAACTAGATTAATAAAAAAAATAAAACAATTCCTGACCCTATCAAATATATTTCAATTGCTTGTGTGGCTGTTTTTTCTGTCCTAATATTTAACTTATACTGGTAACAAAAAACAAAATTTTCTTCTAAAATTCTTCTGTAAGAATCTTCGCTTCTATCATGCTAAGATAGGGGAGTTTCTTACACACACTACACCCTCTCTGTCACTGACACGTAGTCAGTAAAATTTCCTGACTGGGACCAATAAAAAAAGCCAATGCAAATAATATGCATTGTGTTATTTATTACTACAGGAAAACCTTTCTCTTGGTGAAACGATGGTTGATTTAACTCTCAGTAAGAAACAGAGACAGTGGGACTTTTATATATTGGCCTAAAGACAGCTGTGGACACAACAGGATAACAGTCCATAACTGATACAGTCTATAACAGAACAACAACTGTAGTTGACAAACACCAGTTCAAGTCACATACTTAATCCCATATGACTATATCCCATTGCAAAATATGATGTAAAGTCAGTTTGTGGGGGGTTCAAATACCCCACGGGACTAATCCACAGTTAAGTATATTATTCCTACTAAAAACATTTTGAGTACATTAATATTACACTTAACAAACTATAAGCCACTTTAATGTACCAAATAGCAAACAATTATAAATAAAAAGAATAAAAACTTGTAATTCCAACAGATAATTTATTGTTAACAATAAATTATCCGTTATAATTTTTAATTCAACTTCACCAATGGAATCAAGCATTTTTGCAACAATTGTTATTGTTCATTTAAGAACTAACTTTTCTGTTATTTATTTTGTCAAAAACTCTCATATTAAGTTTTATTCATATCATACACTCAACTTCCTCCACTTGTTCTGAAAGAAATTTCAAACCGTATGTTATTATCTTAGGACAAGCATCTAAACATAGTACATACACACAAGTCATATGAACAAACTATATCCAAAAATTGGGAATTATGACGAATTGATAGTATTTATGGAAGAGAACAATAGCTTTTTCAATACTGGAATTGACTTACGACCATATCATGTTGAAACACCAGTACTCATAAGATCACAAAAGTTAAGCAACATCGAACCTGATCAGCCCCTAGATGGATGACCACTTGGTCATACCAGGTGCTGTAAGCTGGGATAGTTTAATGGATAAAAATTGACTCCCTGATTTCCAATTCCAGTTGGGTTTGTTATATTCACTTACGTGAAAAATAACCTAAGAAAAAGGTATGAATTCACCTTTTGTCCTCCCATCTATGGGTTAATTAGTAGCAAATTATTATTTCCAAAACATTTTTACACTCTAAAAATATTTTCTGTTGATAAACTTTAAAAAAAAAAAAAAAAAAAAAAAAAATCAGTATTAAGAATGAAATTCCATTTCTTATGCACTGTGCCCTCCTCAATGATGTGGGCAATCACAGCTCTCCACAACTTCCTATCTTTTTGGCTCATTATCGTCCCTATTTGTTCTTATTCTGCTACCCCTGCTTCTATGCAGCAAATCCTTTCAGAAAGTGGTCAATCATGACACTCCACGTCTTCCTGTTTTGTTGTTTTAACTTTTGACCTATTACAATCCTTCTATGTCCTTATTCTGTCATCCATATGCTTCTTTTTATGTGCTATGCCCTTTCAGGACTTAAACGATCATGGCTCTCCACATCTTCCTGTCTTTTGTTGCTCTTAGTAACTTTTGATCCATTGCCATTACTTTTTGTCATTATTCTGCCATACATTTACACAAAGTAATATTTCTGTTTCTGTGACCTTATGCCCTGTGAGTATTAAATTCTCTAAGCCTTTTTCCTCACATGCTCTGTCCATGGTATTCTCAGCATACTTCTGTAGATCTATATTTTAAGTGAAAAATGTATCACCACATACATATGTACTTCTTTTGTGCCATATCCTCCTCAGGATGCTGGTGATCATAGCTCTCCACAACTTCCTATCATCTGTAGCTCTGAGCAATGTTTTTCTCCTTGCTATTCGTCCCATCTATTTTCACAAGATCGTTAGGTAGTTTACTTGCTGTTGCCCTCTGCCCTGCTTAACATGTCCTGTGATTTTCAAGTTCGCCAAGCCCTTTTTCCTCGTTAGATGCCCCAAAAATGTCAACTATCTTTTTTTGATTCTAAATGTTCTTTCTGATTTAAGTGTCAATTGAAGTTAATGTCTGCCCTTGTGCATGTGCACCAATTTAGTTTCATGATAAACATAGAAATGTGTTCCAATTGGATTTAACGACTGGCTTTTTCGAAATAAGTTAAAATATTTTTACAGCTAAATTTAATAGATTTAAAAATCAGTCCTTAAAACAAAAATTTAAAAAACCTTTTAAAAGAAATTTTTTTAATATAATTCTGATATTTCCTTAAGAAATGATTTAAAATACTTTAAACAATGGAAAAAAAAAAAAGAAATTAAATTTCAGCCTTCTCACATCTTCAGCATTTCCTGTCGATATATAATTATAATCAACATCAGCGTTTTTAGAGCTCATACTCATTTTCCTACACAAAATGTTTCCACTTTGTCATTAATTCGCCTAACAATGGAAAATATATACTTGTAAAATATTTTGCACCTTGTATACATATCTACTCTTATACTCACTATCATAAAGAGACAATTTCTGAGACATATTAGGAAAAAGGACTTGGACAATTTGACCCTCAAAGGACATATTGGGAAGGGAGAGTGACCAACCTAACGAGTTTGTGTTCCATATGAGCAACAACAAAGTTTTAGAGAAAATGGAAACAAAAAGGACGCTTATAATTAGCATTAGAAAAACAGTTTACATTTTGAGGACACATAATGAGGAAAGAGGGCTTGGAAAATCTGATACTCACTGGTCAGATTGAAGGCAAGAGAGACAGAAGAAAATAGTGCATAACTTACCGAAAAAGCTTGAGTAAATGAATGGCAGAACAGGGTTTAGGAGAAATAGCAAAAAGGCTAAATTTACTAAGAGCTACAACAGACAGGAAACTGTGGAGAACCATGATCACCCCACGTTCCAAAGGAACATGGCATATAGAAATGAATTGCAGGGCATACACTGGGAGGTAGAGGAAGGGAATAAATGTTGCTTAGAACTACAAAGGATGGGAAGTTGAGAGCCATAACCACCCACACATCTTGAGAGGACATGCCACAAAGACGGATATATATTGGGTGTAACAGCAAAATTGTCCAATTGTTAGATTAAGCTTTGAACCATTGTATCTTAGAAATGATTGAAAATATCTTACTGGAATTCTCTGAGGTTTTTATAACATTATTGGACTCTACTTTGAACAATAAGTATGTATTTAGCTCTAATTTGAAATGATGATCCCTCTTGCTGTTGTGACTTGATCCAGATTTCCCCTCTACTGTTCCCTCTTTTTAAAAATTATTCACTGTTCTCTTAATGGTTCTTGAATGGACTTTGAAGATGGAAGCCACAGTATGAATGTTGGTACCATTACTGAAGACCTGAATGATCTTTTTACTCTCACCATTGCTCAGTTGGGAAGACATAGTGGGGCTGACACAAAATGATTTTAACCTGTTTCTAGCTGAATAACTGAAAGGGTTTTTCAGTGATTCTAATGAAAAATGGTGTCAAGATGGCTAAACATTTTATCTGAAGACCTGAAAAAAATAAAAATAAATTTGTTTAGTGGTTTTTTTTTTAAATATTAAACATTTTGTAGGATGGAGAATTATACTGAAACATGATTTGGACAATTTTGCTGTTACACCCTGTATATATAAATGTGTGTGTGTGTGTGTGTGTAAGAAAGTAAGTTGTTTTCTTTTCATATATATCCCACATGGGGAAAAATATAGGAAGATAAAATTGAAAATGCAACTGTTGTCTTTAAGAATATTTATTTAGATAACTATTCTTAAAGAATCAGTTGCATTTCTAATTTTTTCATATATATATATATATATATATATATATATATATATATATATATATATGTGTGTGTGTGTGTGTGTGTGTGTATGTATGTATGTATGTATATATATATATTGGCCTTGGCTGGCAACCAGTCTAAGAGAAGGAAAACTCTGCATTTCAAATTATGAAAAAAGGCAATGGGAAACTACTACACTGTCCCCCTCGAGAAGTCCTGGTAATTCACAGAAAGTAAATAAAAGAAAAGGAACTTGTGGAGAGCCATCATTGCTTATGTCTTGAAGGGACATGGCATCTAAGAAAACATTAAATTATTAACATTAATTTTATAAATCTGAATACAAATGAAAAAATATGTAAATTAAATTTTTTTCTTTCTTTCAGACAGTAAAAAAAATGTACTTTTCCATTTTGTTTCTTGCAAATAATGGTAAGTAAATTGGTTTCTTTATTTTATTTTAAATTTCATTATCAAGCAAGAAAGATGGACAAATTAGTAAATAAGTAGGAGTTTTATTTCAATAGCAAATCAGTTCTTTTTTTTTTTCCCAGCATTTGTTTTCAACAGGGTGTCAAGAAAATACAAAGAGATAGAAAAAGAAAAAAATCTAGGAAGAGAAAAATATATAGAAAGTGTACCTGGGTGGCATTTTCCCCCACACCAGCTATGGGTTAAATAGAGCAGGCAAGGCTCTATTGAATGGCAATGAGTTTAAGAAAATTGACTGATTCATAATGTAAAGCCAGAAAACATTTTTAGATTTTTTTTTTTTTAATCGTTTCACCCTAAGCAAGGCAATAAAGCCACTAGGATGCAAGGAGTTACTGAGTGTTAGAAAATATGAAAAGAATTATTAAGGAGAGAGGACAATAAAAGAAGAATTAAGAAGATAACAATTGATATTGCATTTAAATTTTTTAAAGATCAAAGTTGACTGTAAAACAAGAAGCTGGAAGAGAGATCCACAAGCGAGAAGTGTGATAGAAAAAACTGTTAGCATAGAACTACAGTTACATCTAGCCATTTCAACTGTAAAATGATGAGACCTTACTGCCAATCTAGCACTGCCTTTAAATTCATAAACTCTAGGTACCATAGAGGAAATGCTCATCAGAACAATTACCATGAAAGTATTTATAGAAAAGGCAGAGGGAAGTTACATTATGGTGGTGGGAAAGTAACTGAAGCCAAGATGCCAGGTCAAGGCTAATAACATTGCAGGTTCCTTGTATTTTATGAAGAATTTCCAAATACACAGATTGTAAGAATTTCTTTTTGAGATAACAATGGTTTAGTGATATAAGTTATACTAACCCATAGACAGGGGAGAAGAGGTGGATTAATATCTTTCCCAAGAGTATTTGTGTGTAAGTGAATATAATGAACCCAACAGGAATTTGAACTTGGCTTTCATAAATTTCATATAGTGATTTTTCAAGACTTAGCATAAGCAAAAAAAAAAAAAAAAAAAAAAAATCCCAGAACAACATGAAAATATGCAAAGATTTTTTTCATCCTTTAATAATCAGTTGTGCTTAGTTTAATTTGTAACATATAGAAATGTAGATAGAAATAAAGCAAATGCTAAGATAGCAAGGGTCACAAAGCACTGCCTGGGTCACAAAGCACTGCCTGGGTCCCACCCCGCCCAATCGGTAATACACACTGGCCCTGGGACAACTGAATTTCAAACTGTGGAAAAAGGCATTGGAAGATCACACTGTCCTTGAAAAGTCATGGTCATTCAGAGAAGAGAATTAAAAAAAAAAGAAAAATGGAATGTGAGGAGGGTCATAATTGCTCACATCCTGAAAAGACAGCATTAAAAAATTAATATGATTGATTTTATCTGCTTAAAATATATGAAGTGATAAGATTAAATTGAATCAATTGCTATATCTGACAATCTATTTTACATATTTTTATATTTCTACCATAAAAATCCACACAGTGAACATTCTTGCCATGTCTAATCTTGTGCTTCTGTTATGTATTTAGAGATTCTTGATAAAAGAATCAGAAATCTTATCGATCATGACCTGGCATCTTGGCTTTCCCACTGCCATAATGTAGCTTCTCTGTGCCTGTTCTGTAAATACTTTCATCGTAATTGTTCTGATGAACTTTCCTCTATGGAACCTAGACTTTATGAATTTAAATGACATTAGATTTGCAACAAGGTCACATCATTATACAGTTAAAACTGCATGATGTAACTGTAAATTCTATGCTAATGGTTTCTTTTCTCACATTTCTCAACACTCTGGTTAAGCTCTGACTAACTGCAACTCAACTCGAACTAACTCAACTGACTGCCTGCCAAATGACCACAGGATGTTCGTTTATATGGGTATCAACCAAAATCCGGTGTGGGCCAGATGAAGCCTGGGGTTCTTGGTAAATCTCAATTTGTAACAAGAAATCTCTTTGTTGTCAGACCAGGAAAATTGATTACTTCCCATTTTGGGAAAATTAATCACTTTCCATTTCACGTAGGGGTTCTCTGTCGTCCATGAGAGAAGGTCGGAGGAGAGTTATCCTCCGAGACTCTTTCTCTCTCACATTGATATCTCATACCAATCCCTTCAGTGAGCATTAACAACTTCTCTGCCTTTCTCATCCATTCACCTCTGCCTATCACCCATACCACCACTCAATAAAATATAGCATTCCAGCAGTGTAGGTGTGGCTAAGCTGGCCTCCTTAAAATTATAATCTAGAATTTTTGTTTACAAAATTCTCCTTTCCCATCAGCCAAAATTTTTACGAATTCCACATTGCCAATTAAATTTTTATCATATCTTCTCTTTTTCCTGGGCCACCCAAAAGTCACTTAGCCATCACTCTTTACTGACTCATCAATTACTGTTAATGTTTGCCATTTGGTCCTTACGTTAAGTTAGCTTTATAATTGAATCCTTGATTTGTTAAGAAATTAAATTCTTTTATCTTGCCAAATCTCAATTCTCCACTCTATTTTGTATCTCATGCCAAAATTTTACAATTGCCACAATGCTATTCAGCGTCTTAGCGTCTGTTGGTAAAGTAAATGATAACAATCCTCTCACCTATATTGAGACAATGCCAAAATTTTATAATTGCCACATTGCTTCTCTTTGCCTGTATCCAAGAAAAAAAAACAAAACAATATCTTGGAAAGATAATTAACATTGATTCTCCGTGTCCTGTATCTGCAATCATCTCAAGCTGAAATTTTTATGACTAGCATGTGTTTTGGCTGAAATCTTAATATTTGCCTTTCTTTCTATCTCCCTTGGTGAGATATAAATCAACAAGACCTCACACATGGTTCTTTCCATGAGTTTTTTTGTAAATAAAATCAAATCTTTCTTTTAATGTCGATCAGTCTATCTTTCGTGATAACTCTTTTTCGCTTTAAGAATGTCTATTTTTTGTTTTAATTTCTATGGTTAATTAGTTAGCCAATTATCATAGCTAAATAGTGTCACAATTGGTCAACTGTGTCGGATAGTAGTAGAAAGATTATTGGCTCTTCTGACGTGTCCATACCATTTCAACTTTCTCTTCTTGATGGTCGATAGTAGGTCTTCAAACACCGCTGATTCTTGACTGATGGGGGGGGGGACCTCATACTGCATCATCTATCATCCAGTTCACACTCTTCCCTAGTCTTTTAAACAGGCATTGAGGTTTAGGGATATGAAAGATGAAGATGAAGTTATGCGCACAGAATGAAGAAAACTCTCAGTCCTACAGTCAGTTTCCAAAAGACAAACCAAGCAGTTCCTTTTCCATCAGGGCTTTGCCTGGATAGAGGCTAAATCTGTCTCCCCCAACCCACTCGAATCTGGAATCCTATATATGGCTACTCCAGAAAAACAGAAGAATTTCCAGCAGCTCCATTACCCGTTGAGAATTATTACATGTAAGACTCTTGTTTTAGACCCCTTTTCACTCTGCGAGACAAATGTGTGTGTGTGTGTATATATATATATATATATATATATATATATATATATATATATATATATATCTCCAGGCGTTGTATGTGCATCGAAACACGGCTGCAATTGTGTAGCGATTTTTGACACGTTTTTGATATAATATCCTAAAATAAAACACACACACACATATATATATATATATATATATATATATATATATATATATATATAGTAAAGGTAATAAATCTGTTGGTACATAATCCAAGTAGATCATATATATATATATATATATATTTATATAGTAAAGGTAATAAATCTGTTGGTACATAATCCAAGTAGATTTTGTGTATGACTTAGTGGTAGAAAAATCTCTCTGAGAACAAAGCATGTTTGTTTTTTCTTTTCTTAGAGCTGTTCTGTCTGTGAAATAAAGTTATTATGGATATAATAATGCCCATCATGGGGGAAATGCAAAAGGAAGAATATTCGCTTTTTTTCTGTAACTCAATCCCATTAAAGGTTTTTCCCTTGTTCCCTGTTTAGGATTGAAAGTTTCTTTGAAAGTTTTTTTCATTCTCATTCACTCACAGTAACCCCTTGCATCTTAGTGGCTTTATCATCTTGCTTGGAGTGGGAAAAAAAAATTTAATTTTAAATAAATTATGATTCAATAAATACATAGTTCATATTCATGCTCTCTTATTAGGGCCAAAGGACTTATTTAAACCTTTCATGGGAATTTGATCAAATTCCCCCTTTCCCCGTAGAAAACGTTTTCTGCTAGTTTTAAAATAGATTACTTTTGAGATCAACATTTAATTTTAAAAGTTTAGTAATCATTTTCCTAAGCGATTAGATGTCCATTGTAATACTAAAACTTTAATCTTGTATACTTGTTACGACAAAGTAAACTGAAACAGTGAATTGTAGCCAAAGGTATATTGAAATATGTCTAAAAATGCACTAACTTAAAGAATGTAAAAAAAAAAAAAAAAAAAAAAATTGAGCGGGATCTTCTATTTTATAACTAAATGTCATTGTCAGATCTACATTCGCATTCAACTAAATTTCAATTTCACAAGGGAGGTAACTTAAAAACTAGTTACAGATTAGTCTCCCTTGTGTTTGTTTTTAAAAATGCATACCATATCCAGATCAGTTTGGTCACATAAGATTGCATTAATCTTACGTTGACCCCACGGGACACAGGGCTGCTTATTTGTTTTGCTGAGTTGCTGAAAAGAGAGAAGAAGAGAGGAAAGAAAAAAAATGGAGAAGAAAATGAAAAGAAAAAGAAAAATGAAAAGAAAAAGTTTTTTGAATTCTTGTATACTTGTATTTTGATTGGTCATTCCAGCTTATGTAACAGCGTTTCCCCTAGCGAGGGATGTTTGATTGATTTGAACCTTTTAAAACCCTTTATTCTACATTCAACACCATCATTTGATAAGACACGAGAAGTGTTGAAACAAAATGGATATTTTTGTAGTGATTTTATAACATATTTATGTTATAATTTTCGAATAAATGATTATATTTGCTCTAATCTGATCTGTATTACTCTTTAAAGAATAGTATTTGTTGGTTATTGGAATTTATTCTGTATACACCAATCCTATACTTGGGTATATATATATATATATATATATATATATATATATATATATATATATAATAATGAAATAATCATAGAATCAATCAGCAATATTAATGGGATTAAGGGCGAAATCACTTCACTAGTAGAACATAATGTATGCATTAAAATACTGTTAATCTATTGAATGATGTTATCCTCATTTATAAAACTGTTGTCAGATGTTTCTAGTGTATATTTTTTTAAGTTAAGCAAGTACTTTCAAAGATCCATGTCTCCATCATCAGGCTGTAATTTTTTTCCTTTAAAGTTAAAAATTGAAGACGAAATATTTGTTTGTAGACCCAAAGATGTTTTTTAAGAATGTGCTATTTATTGACGGTTGTACAATCTCAGAACGTGCGAGTCGCAAGGCTAAAGTTCAAAATTTCAAGTGAGAATTTTTATATGAATTTTGTAATATGGTAAATCCAAGAATTCTTTTTTTACAAGTGTTTTTCAGTTAACATGACATGAACTAAGTATATAGTTCAATTAATATAGTGATATGTCTTAGTAGTTTTTTCTCAGGAATTATATATATATATATATATATATATATATATATATATATATATATATATAGAGAGAGAGAGAGAGAGAGAGTACAGGTAATAAATCCTTAAATATATAATCCAATGTATCCTAATAATATCAAATATTAAAACTGATCCACAAAAAGAGCTCAGAACATTATATTATTATTATTATTATATCAGAGCATATAAATTACACAACAAAATCCAAAATTACCTCATGTGGATATAGATCTATTTCAGCCAACGCAAAGTACATTGGTCTTTTCAGTCCATCTATTGAGGTTGAATAAGACTGATGTACAGCATATTGGCTGAAACAGATCTATACCCATATGAGGTAATTTTGGATTTTGTTGTGTTTTATATATACATTGAAAGTAACCATATAAATTTATCATTGATACAATTGTGGGATATAAATTTGCCATTAGTACAATTGTGAAAAGTAACCATATAAATTTTCCATTGATAGAATTGTGGAAATTAACCATATAAATTTACCATCAATACAAATCTGGAAAGTAATGACATGGATCTATTGCCTATATAAATTTGGAAAATAACAAGAGTTTTGTTTATTTTTTTTTCAGACTGTGAAAAATGTCATCTTGCCTATCCCAAGTTCATGGCCGCCTCACAACCATTCTTAAATGATCCTCAGATTTTTTTTGGTCGTGTTAAAGACCCACTTCTTTTTCAAGCTATGAATGTTACAAAGTTCCCAACTTTGGTTTATTATGCTCCTGCAAGTGCAAAACCAGAAATGTAAGTATCTTTGCGCTATCATTCTCTTTGTATAAGTGATTGTTTTTTTAATAAAGTTCATTCAAGGTTGAGGGTTACTGAATGAGGTGTATAAGTGTTCAGGAAAGCATCCCTGCAGGAGTCTGTTCTACAAAGTAGTAATTCTTGGGAAGAAGTTTTCTGAGTAACATTCTTCTTACCAAAGGAATAAGTGGGTGATGAGGGTGATTCAACTCTCTGGACATAGGACAGGTCTTGGCTGCAAAGGTCTAAGCTAGTTGCACTAAAGAATACACATTTATTATAGAAGTAGTGATAGGCTTGTGACATTGTGTCTTTGAGGAAAGAGGCTGTAGGGTGGAAAATAAATCACTCCCTTCAAGAAAGTTGCTTAAACAATCTTGACATGTTCTCCCTCATGTCAAGAGCTTATTGAAAAGAGATTCCAAAGATCTGTGGACCAGATGACATCAGGACAATATTCAAATGCAGTTGAATCTTATGAAAAAAACATCTGTTGAGTTAAGCTTAAGAAATGTGAATATTACCAAAATTTGGAGATCTATAATTTTTTTTTTTTTTAGTGGGAGGAACCTATAATTAAGAATTATTTTTTGTAAATTTTTTTTTTTTTGGGAAGTGGGAGGAAGAAACAAGAATTTTTGGTGGGTGTGAAACTTATAATTAAATTTTTTTTTTTTATAGAAACCTTTCATTTTTTGTTTTTTAAACTAATAATTAAAAATTTTTTTTTTCAAAACAATTTAACTTTTCTTTCTTTTTTAAAAAAACCTATAATTAATAATTTATTTTTTGTGTGCAACCTTTTAAACTTTTAATAGCCAATTTCATTTGAGAAATCCCTAATTAAGACTGGATTTTATTTCAATCTTTATAATTAATACAAGATTTCATGTTGGTCTTAAATGAATTAACGATGATTAGGGAGTTGCAATAAAAACAACAAAAATTATCATGAAAAAAAATTCTCATCAAAATTTAAAAACTAACAAGATTAGAAAATTCAACCAACTTAAGATGATTAGTATTTGGAGTAAAAAGCAAGAGAAATAAAACTAAAGAAATACGAATCAATAATAATAATTGAGTCTGTTTCATGTAAGAAATTCAAAGAAAGTATATTAAATGAGAATTCAAAGAATATTTCAAAATATCTTTTCAGTTCTAAACATGATCTCACAGTTGAAGGAATCATCACGACCATTGCCAAAGCTATGAAAGGTGATTTCTCTCGTGTGAAACGAGAATATGCAGTTGAACTAACCGAAGATGTCTATGATGAATTTGTTAATCTTCCGGGTGTTTATGGATTGATCATGGTTTATAAAAATAAAGGTAAGATATGTTATTTTATAACCATTCAGAGTTTTGACAGAGAAATACTTAGCAATTTAATATTGCAAGCCATGAACAGTGAGTTTAGTGTGCCCTTTGTGGCATTGTGCAACTCTAGGACAGAATTAGTCAAAATTTACTTATAGTATGTATATTGCCTCCCACACTTTTTCTTATTAATATATGCTATATATATATATATATATATATATATATATATATATATATATATATATATATATATTATTATATATGCTATACTTGAAAAGATTCTTGAGGAAATAAAAAAAAGAATCTGCAATGTTATCAGTCCTGAACTGGAACATAATTGAATATAACGAATCCAACTGGAATTGAAACTCAGTTTTCCAATTAACAATTTTGAGCTATTATCCATTACGTCACCCACACATCCACGTATACAGCATCTGATATTCCCAAGTAGTCACCTATTTAGGTACTGACCAGGTTTGACTTTGGTAACTGTATGAGAACCAGTGTTTCAATGCAAACAGAAAATGGATAGGAAGTTATGGAGAGCTATGACCGACCGTGTCCATTGAGGACATGGCACAGAGAAGACGAAAGAAACCAATAATAATGAAAGAATAATTTCAAACTATGAATGAAAACTTTTAGAAAATAAAAATATTAAGCAAGAATTTAAAGAAGGCAATTAGTGAGAGTGTTGGGGTCGTAATATTAGTTGTGATAATGAGGATTTTACAAGCATACTATAATTTTCTTTGTATGACCTAAAACTCTCTCCCCCACCTCGTCTTTCCCTCCCTCTTATTCTGATCCTCAACATTAGATCGTCTATGGTGTGTGTATGTCACCACAAAATGTATCTTTATGCATTAGACATCCTTCAACATTCATATTTCTCTTACTTAAACCCCTTCCACCCACCTCTCCTAAAATTCTCTCTGTTAAGGTTTAATCTCCCTCCTCCTCATACTTACACTCTCTCTAAATTCTGTTTTTATTTCCGGAGTTGTTTTTTCTGTTTACTTTTTGAATTTGTAGGTCTGATGAATTGGATCGTATTTACGATTCCAATGGAATAAATTATGACCATGGAATATTAGTGTTTAAGCCTTCATATATATATATATATATATATATATATATATATATATATATATGATCTTGAAAAAAGGCATCATATTTTATTAATAAATGTGTAGGCCGAGAAAATTAATGTATAAGCAGAGACAAAGCATAAGTTGGCCTTATTTGGGGGTCCAGTTTCTAATTCAATTCCCAACTAGGAAAATAAAATGGTGTTTTTTTTTGTTTTTGTTTCCTCCCCTAGTTTTGGTATATTTTAACACCAGTTGTTAAAAATAATTTTTCTTTTCAACCACTTAATCATTGTAAAGATTTGACTTTTTAAAGCAGTAAAATCAGCCATTCGTTATGTATACTAAGAGCCTTGAACAAATTTCAAAATGGCACCTTTTCTGGTAAATTCATATTAACTATTTTTTTATAAATCATTGCACCCCAAGCAAGGCAATAAAGCCACTAAGATGCAAGAGTTTACTGAGAATTAGAGAATCTGAGAAAAAAAAACAATAATATTAAGAAGAGAGGACAATAAAAAAACAAGAATTAAGAAGACATAAAATAACAATTGACATTGCATTTAAATTTTTGAAGATCAAAGGCAATAAAGCCACTAGGACGCAACGGGGTTACTGAGTGTTAGAGAATATGAGAAAAATTACAATTAAGAAGAGAGGACAATAAAAGAACAAGAATTTAGAAGACAGAAAATAACAATTGACATTGCATTTAAATTTTTGAAGATCAAAGTTGACTGGAAAGCAAGAAGCTGAAAGAGAGTTCCACAAGTGAGAAGTGCAAGAGAAGAAACTTAGTAGAGAGATGACAGTTACATCTAGCTATTCTAACTCTAAAATGAGACCTAGCTGCCAATCTAGTACTGTCCTTTAAATTCATAAAGTCTTGGTACCATAGAGGAAAGATCATCTGAACAATTACTATGAAAGTATTTATAGAAAAAGCACAGGGAAACTATATTATTGTGGTGGGAAAGTGACTGAAGCTGAGATACCATGTCAGGACCAATAACATTGCAGATTCTTCATTGGATTTTTATCAAGAATCTCTAAACATGTAGCAGGAACACCAGACCATATATGGCAGCAATATTAAAAGCCAGGAAGAATGGTAGATTTATAAATATGTGAGAGATTTTGATGAGAAAAATTGTCTAGCACAACACAGGGAACCAACTTTACTAGCAGCAGAATTAGCCATTGATACAATATAATCTTTCCACTTCATGTCAGTGGGAAATGCTAGATTGAGAAGGAATAATGAGTCACTCTCTTGGAGGTTAGCATCAGCCATGTGGATGGAAGGTCAAAAGGGTTCTCTCAGACAATTAAAAGAGAGGAGTTTTGTTTTGGAGCATTAAAATTAACAAGCCACTTCTTACTCCATTTAACAACAGATTGTAGGTCATTTTTGAGATCAGATGTCATCTTGACTTTATTAAACTGATCAACTTTACTATTAAGACAAGAGTAAATAGTTGTGTCAACTCAGTGTCTATCTTGAGGATATAATTTTCTAATTTTTATACCATAATGTGGTTTGGCATCCAAGTTCCTATTTCAGAGGCACATTTTTGATATATGGCTTTCATCTTGCTCAAAGGAAAATTGTCTATCAGAAAACATTTGACTAGTTTGGCTAAACATTTCTGAAACACATTTGATCTCTAGTCATAAGTAGTGTCAGATTTAGGACAAATGAGGCCCTGTAATGTTATGAGGCCTCTTACTTGCACCTTAAAGAAGGTAGGCATAGAGGGAAGATGTCCCCCAGGTTAACGGGGCTCTGTGCTTAAGCACACCTAAACACAGTGGTAATCTGGCATTGGTCATAAGTTACCTATCTATTATTTTTATTGTAATGCCATATTCCTTCAGGACATAGCAGCCATGATTCTCCACAGCATCCTTTTCTTTATTTGTGAATTACCACAACTTTTTTGTTACCATCTTCATGGTTTGGAATTCAGAGTTTTCCTTTTCTTACACAGGTTAACATTCAAGGCAAAAGATCCTAGTCTACCCTGTTATTTAATACATAATTGAAAGAGAAGATATGCATTCATGCCTTTTTCAAGAGTATTTATGTGAAAGTAAACTGAACAGACTAGCCTGGGACTTGAACCTGGCTCAGTAATTCCATTTTCTATGCATATATCCTTTGCACCAACCACACATCCTCTTCCTACTATCTACACAAATAGTTACATTGCATAATGTCACTAAATAAAAATCACATCCAAACATTCAATAATTTGGAAATAGAGAAAATGGAAACAAAAAAGGAAACTTATACTTAACATCAGGAAGAGACAGCTGAAATTTCTAGAGGAAAGAGGGCTTGGAAAATCAAATACTCACAGGACAGATTGATGGCAAACAATGCATAGTCTACCTCGCGAGCTTGAGTAAACTGATGGAGAGATAATAAAAAGACAAAATTTATTAATAGTTAAATAGGATAGGAAATTGTGGAGAGCCATGATCACCTATTTCCTGAAGACACATGGCACATAAAGAAGATCCATAGTGAATTTATTGTTTTTTTTTTTTTTTTCAAGGAAGAAAAAACATTGCAAAATATGAAAGTAAAAATAATTTTAAAAAAATATTTCTTTTGTAGATGCTAAAGATCATATTGAAACATTTGAAAAGATTGCAGGAAGTTTTAAAAATGATTATCTGGTAAGGAATATTTTTATTATTTCTATATATGAAGGTGGGCTGAAAAGTTCCTAGGCTGACTATGAAGGAGTGATGCTAGAGCTGTGAAATCTTGCATGCATTCATTTCAACTCTTCTTATTAATAACTGCATTGTTTCTTTCCATGTATGAGCGTGGGCTGAAAAGTTCCTAGGCTGACTATGAAGGAGTGATGCTAGAGCTGTGAAATCTTGCATGCATTCATTTCAACTCTTCTTATTAATAACTGCATTGTTTCTTTCCATGTATGAGCGTGGGCTGAAAAGTTCCTAGGCTGACTATGAAGGAGTGATGCTAGAGCTCTGAAATCTTGCATGCATTCATTTCAACTCTTCTTATTAACAACTGCATTGCTAAGGATTAAGCTCTACTCTGGCCTTTCCAAAAATGATTTTTTTGTCTTCTTTTGAATGACTTTTTTCCTTATTTATTTACACTCTGTTCACTGGTTGAAATGTAGAAAGTTAAAAATTGCATGGGTAAATATAGGTAAATGTACAAGCAAGCATTTGTGAGTGTGTATATATATATATATATATATATATATATATATATATATATACACTATAATGTAAGAAAAAAACAGTGCTCAATCTTAAGTAACAGAGCTATTTAATATATATATATATATATATATATATATATATATATATATATCCCTAACTGGCAGTTTCATGTACAACGCAATCTTCAGGTGCTGGATAGAGACTAATTGTTATATAATTAAAATATCTGCTTAATGCAATGATAAAGTGATCAACTTTCTTGATGTGACCTTGAACTTGAATACTTATTATTACCAAAAATGTACCAAAGATCTACATAACCACCGTTACATTAATAAGGAATCTAACCATCCATTCAATATTTTAATTTACATAAAACAGTCCAAATTAGATTATCTACCAACTTTGACAATAAAGAAATATTTGATAAAAATAAAATTAAATATATAAAAGCATTAGAACTAAGCAAGCATAAAGTAAATTTAGAATATTTAGGAAAAAAAAAAGGTTAAAATAAACAGAGACACCATAATGCAATATGTTCTAACCCACCTTTTAATTATAATGTTCAAATGAATATTGGAAGAATTTTCCTAAATTTAAATAAGCACATTAGATACCAATACTAAAGATTAACAAAAATAATATAAACATCAGCTCTATATGTGTGCTAAAACATTGTTAAATCAATATCCCAACATGATAATAATATACAAAATAAATATATCTCCAGCAAAGATAACAACATTAACCTTTTTAAAAATAAATGTAACTGCCGAAATAATATGATCTGTCCCTTAAATAGCCAATGTATGACTAATAATATTGCATACCGAGCTAGCATAGATTCTAGTAATGATATCAAATTTTATTTTGGTTTCACTGAAAATACTTGGACATATTGTTTTTACCATCATCGAATGACTTTAGGAAATGTAAGATACATAAACAGCACAGCTCTCTCTAAACATTTCTGGTAATTAAAGAATGATGGTAATACATCCATTATTGCATGGATGATAAACTAAATCCTATAATGGAAAAGGTGATAGATGCAATCTATGCCTTGCAGAAAAATTAGTTATATTAAGACACTTAAATAGCCCTAACTTATTAAACAAGAGAAATGAATTGATGGTTACATGTAGGCATAAAAATAAATATCTGTTGACATAGGTTGATCCAGATTTATTTTTAATGTAAATTATGACCTTTCACTTTTTTTTTTGTATGGTTCATAGGCCCATTCATTTTTATAAAAAAAATTTTTGTAAGAAATTAAAAAAATAAATCCCCGTAATCTCCCTTTACGTTTAATATAAAATATTCATAACTTTAAATAAAAATTAATATTTTTTTATTTTTTTGCAATAAATACCATTAATCACTATTTAAATATAAAATAAACTATTTGTCCTTGTTTATTTTATATATATATATATGGTCTCTTCAATCATCAGTGCTTCAAAGCCAAGACCCACCTTTATATGCAAATTATTCGTGATTTGTTGTTTGCTGATGATGCTGCTCTTGTAGCGACATCCTTTGAGGAGGCCCAACATCTAATAAATCGTTTCTCTGCTGCATGTAAAGCCTTTGGTCTTACACTTAGCAAAAAAGAAAACTGAAGTAGTGCACCAACCTTGTCCTACCCTCAAGCAATTCTGTGGTGAGAAACAAAACCACCAGTCTACAAATTTCCAGAGACCATTGAAAGTAGAAGACAAAGCCCTGAACTATGTAAAGTCTTTCACCTATCTTGGTAGCAAAGTCAACTACAGTGGAACTTTAGATGATGAAGTCATGCATTGGATTGCTAAGGCTACCAGTCCTTTCGGCAAACCTCACCATCGCTTGTGGAATGAGCAGGGTATTCGACTGGATACAAAAATTCAGGTTTACAGAGCTTTTGTACCTGCCATCCTTTTGTCCAGCTCAGAGTCGTGGACTCCATACAGGTACCATATATGCCAGCTGGATGTTTTCCATAAAAGCTCTCTGCGTAGAGTTAACCTTCAAGACAGAACATCTAATGTAGACCTGTTTAACAAGTGTAATATTGGAGGAATCGAGACTTTTCTCATAAAGTCTCAGTTACGGTGGACTGGTCATGTCTTGAGAATGTCTGATGACAGGATACCCAAGATCCTAATGTACAGCCAGTTAGATCAGGGCTACAGGAATGTAGGATACCCATGGCTAATATACAAAGACAAGCTGAAAAGCAACTTATCAGCTGTCAATATACCTCATAACACTCTTGAGCGCTTAGCCTTGGAGCAGATAGAATGAAGATCAACATGTTTTAGTGGACTCAGCAATTTTCAATCTGCTTGTTTGAATCATCTTCAAAAAGCGAGAGCAAGAACTAAAAGGTCAGCCAATCTAACAGTGATCTCATCTCACAATCCTGACTCTTGCTCCATATGTGGCCTCCTTTGTAAATCACTAGTGGGTCTTAAATGCCACTTAAGATTATTGCACAAAATTTCACAACTGAATCAACTAAGATCCTCATATGTCGAAACCGACAGGAGAGTCCATTATTATATATATATATATATATATATATATATAAATAAAAATCTTGTCTATTTTAAATGCAACATATATTTTTAATATAGAAAACTGTAATCCCTGTATATATGGACTGCACCAGAATTGGGTTAACCTGATATTTTTATTAAAATTTAAATCATGTAATGGTCAATCTCTACCCAGCACCTGAAGATTGCATCTGAGGAGTAATACATATATTTATTAATATATACTTGACAGCTCTGTTATATTACATTGAGCACTAGTTTATTAACACCAGCACTATATATCTTAGTATCAGTATAAATTTTGGCATTAAATGACCCATAAGTGGTTAATATGCTGTTAATATATATATATATATATATTGTGTCTAAAAATATATATATATATATATATTAGTTAATAAAAATATATATATATATATATATATATATATATATATATATATATATATTTTGTGTGTAAAATATATATATATATATATATATATTTTACAAATTCATGAATTATTCATACAAAAACAAATGCAAAGGTTAATGGCGAGAAATCCATCGTCGCAACCAATTCAAATAATATACAAAAACCCCCGAACTTGTTATGAATGAAAAGATCCTTGTTTCTATAAATTTCTGCTGCATTAGTTCTTATTTTTACTACAAGCTTTCGTCTGTTCCTACAGACATCTTCAGGTATGGAATAGATGTTGTTCTTGTTTTTTCTCTCAGTAATAAGAGGACAACGAAAATATATGTATTGTTGTATCCGAAAAATGCTATTGGAAATGAGTTATTGTTTTTGGAGCGTGCAGTAGCAACGCTGAGTTTGATTTTAAATTGTCGCAAACAATTCAAATAATATACAAAAATAAGAACTAATGCAGCAGAAATTTATAGAAACAAGGATCTTTTCATTCATAACAGGTTCGGGGGTTTTAGTTTTAAAATTTTTTAATTTAAGAAATGCTCATAAATATTCATCAGGTAAACTGAAAAGTCTTGATTTATTGTTGGTTTAATGGCATATTAACCCCTTATGGGTCATTTAATGCCAAAATTTAATTTTCTTGGAAGCTTTATAATAGTAAAAATATGTTATTCTGCTTTCACAATTTAGTACATGGTAGATGATACCAAGATTCTATACATAGACATATTTGTGTGGACATAATTACTAGAGTATTTTATGTTGTAGTTTTCTTAAAGTTATATAATTTTATAATTGAAGCAATAGGTTTAAAAACTTAACCCAATCATAAGCTAAAAAAAATCCCTTTAAGTTGTCAACAAAAAAACAAATTGTGGTTCAATATGATGTATTCATGTACAAACAACCCTTTTAGGAAAAAAAAATCTTTATATATACAAATACATATTTAACAGCATAACAAGTACCAAATACTTCTTGTCATTGAAATAGACCAGACAATATGCGTTGAGCGGATATCATCATTCATTTTTTTAAAATAAAGCGCCCCCCCCGACCCTACCTTGACCTCTTTTCATAAGTAGCTAATATGTTGATACAATAGTTGTCAGTAAAAATGAATACCCTACCAACTCTTATAAAAATAATTGGTTTTCTCCATATCCATAAAAATTAATATTATGAATGTATATACCTATAAAACACCGTAAATTTCAAAATTAGTTATTCCAAAATTTGCTTGAGGATGAAACAGAACTAGGTACTTAAATTTAATTTCTATAATTGAATTGAAAGTTTTTAGCTTCCGTTTTTGAAACATGAGAACTCTTATGTAGCGATGGAATCATATTTTTAAAAAAATAATTATAATATAGGCTCTACTTGTGTATCGAGCACTGTTTTTTAAAAAATAAAAACAAAAATACTAAAGAAATTCAGATTATTAACCTAACTGTTCTTTCCTATTTTTTTTATATATTTGCACATATACACACACACACACACATATA